TTCCCCTGGCCTCTCTGATTGGTTCAGGGATGGGTAAGGGACCCAGCCCTGCCAATCAAAGCATTCCATTCCCCTGGCCTCTCTGATTGGTTCAGCGATGGGTAAGGGACCCGCCAATCAAAGCATTCCATCCCCTGGCCTCTCTGATTGGTTCAGGGATGGGTAAGGGACCCAGCCCTGCCAATCAGAGCATTCCACCCTCTGGCCTGGGTGATTGGTTCAGGGATGGACATGTGACCCAATCTGGCCAATGATGTGAAACCCTGAGACTTTGCAATGAACGTGGAAAATTGGACCTTTTTCCCGCTGGGCTTGTTAGGCTGATGAGATGAGGTTAAGAACTGCTGGGGGCCAGATGCGTCCCCTTGTGGACACAACCTGCTCGAGACCAACACCAACCCCAGCTCAGCATCCTAAAAATGTTGTTTGAGCTCCTGGATCCAGCCACACCTGATTCCCTGGGCACCTCTGTACTGACCCAACAACTCCCCCCTTGTGTGTCTGACATTTGCAGGCGCCTCATCTCCCAGACACCGTGCACCCTGCCTCGGTCAGCCCCCTGCTGCCCATTCCTTCTCCTACTCCTCTCTCCCACCCAGCTTGCCACGTCCAGACCCAACGCCACCCCCTGACAGCCTCCCTGGGCCCCCGCAGTGTGTGTGTCTGCCTCTCTCCCGGGCACGCACATTCTGAGGTCGCTTCTGTGATATTTTTCATCCAACGTTCACAGATGGCCCCAGGGGGCCTGCTCCTCACTGAGGGATGTCAAGTGGGGAAAGTGAGGCCCAGCAAGGGGTGGTGACTTGCAGAGACCCCCGCTTCCCGGTTTCCTGGTTCTCTCCCCTGCACCTGCCCAGCGGGACACCTTGTCCCACCCCAGACAACCGCCCCCGCCCCCTCTCAGTGCCGCAAAGCCAGGACGGGCAGGGAACGCCTTGGGCCTTGTCCCATGGAACCAGGAGACACCTTGACCCAGTGCCCCAGGCGGGCCTGGCCCCCCACCCCGAGTGTCCCAGTTCCCACTGAGCACGGCTCCAGGAGCCTCCTCGAAGGTCACTCCTGACAGCTCCGGGATGCTGTTCCTATGCCCCGCCCCGGGCCCTCAAGGTCCACATCTCGCCTCAGCACAGACCCCCAGACTCTCCCCACCCCGAACCCGACCCTCCTCCTCCCCACGCAGCTCCCTCTGCCCACAGCACTCTCCTTTCTGCTCCTCCACAGCCTCCTGAGCTGCAGCCCACAGGACACCTCCTCCAGGGAGTCCCCAGATTGCCCCGCCCTTGGCGCCCGTCGTCTGAGCATCTCCTGTTATGCCAGGAGAGTCGGGCATCTCCTTTTGACAGCTGAGGAAAGGAAGAGGGTTGTCCCTCGGCCTCGGCCTCGGCCCCCTGGTTCCATCGGAGTAACTGCCCACTCACTGCCTTTACGCCAACTTGCTTATAAAAGCTCAACATGGTTCTAACGAGGAAATCGCAGCCCCGACTGTGGAGGCAGCATCTGGCCACATAAAACCCATCGTGGCAACAATGTCACAGCCGACACGTCATGTATCACACGGTCTCTCGTGTGTATCAAACATTAAAACCAGACTCAGAGAAACAATCTTTAAAAACAAGCAGTATTGGTTAACAGACCCCAGCTGAGTGGGCTGAGCCACCGTCCCGGTGACCACACGGCCCCCACGAAGACTCTCCGCACAAGTCACTGGCGGGGGTGGAGGGGTGGGACACGTCTCTGGAAGGGGACTGAGCTCACTTAAGGCCTGTCTCCTCCCTCCTGAAGCCATCAGCCCAGGACTTTCTCCTGGGGGCCCAGGTGAGCATCCCCTCCCACAGCCCTAGAGCCTCGTATACAACAAGCGCTTAATAAAGGCCACTGAACAAGGCACGGCGTCTGCAAACAGCACTCACTGGGGACTAGAGGTGTGAGGGTCGGGCTCGTGTCAGCCACAGACGCGGCCCCCCCCCATCCTGAGCCCGCTCTCTGGCGGGGGCCAGTCCCCCACCGTGCCCACACCCTGGGGCTCCCCGGGGAGGGCGGGCGCGGCCCGGCTGACGCAGGTGTGTTTGCAGAGTGAGTGGCCGGCTGTTCACCAGCGGGATTTATAAGCCACATGAGACATCAACTCCGGGAAGAAGACCCGCCTGCCCGAAGGGGGGGCGGGGGTGGGGACACCGCTTCCTGCTCGGCCGTTCCTCCCGGGTGATTCACGGGGCCAGGGTTTCAAGTCAAGGCTCCGGAGTCCCACTTGCCTGTGGCCTTGAGCGAGTGTCGGCTCCCCTCTGACCTCAGTGTTCACACCCAACCGTAGTGGAGTCCGGAGCACATAGCTCCACCCTAAAGGGCTGCCATTGCAGATCAGTGCCCTGTGCCTGGTATACAGTAGGCGCTAGATAAATGCATCCAGTGGTCGTTGCTATTATTATTTAAACCCTGGATCCACCGCTGATCTCAGGGTGACTCTGAGGCAGGCGTGCCCTCTTGCAGAGCCTCAGTCTCCCCGTCTGTAACGTGGGTGCTGCTGCTTCCCCAGGGGGCCTGGGGAGGGGCCTGAGTGGGGGGCCTGGCGTGGAGAAACCCCAAGAAGGAAAATCGCCCTCTTCGAGGCCTCGGAGGCTCTGAGCAAACGAGTCACCGTAACAGCCCCAGAGCCTCTCGCCTTCCCAGATGGCTCCTCGTGCACCGAGGACCGAGGACCAGCATCTCATTCTCATCTCCTAAGAGCCTGTGACGAGGGGACTATTCCTGTACCCAGTTTACAGTGGAGGAAACTGAGGCTCAGAGAGGGGAAGGTGCTCCCCCGAGGTCACACAGTGAGTGCAGAGCAACTGGTTCTGAAGCCTGAGCCCTCCTCCTCCTCCTCCTCCAGGAAGCCCCCTGGATTGCTCCTCCTAGCCCCGCCCTGTAGCATGCAGACACCAAAGTGAAACTGGGTTTATGGCCCCCCGGTGCCACACACCTGTGTCCTTGTCATCTGCAAGTGGCCTCCTGCCCTTGGGGCAAAGGCCTGCTGGAGGGGCCCGGGGCTGACTGGGTAGGTCACACCGCAGGGAGGGCCTCCTGGGTTCCCCTTGGGTTACTCGGGCTACCGCCCGTCCCCCTGACCCTTGACACATCTGGACACGTCTGAGTCTCTACCCCGGCCCCAAGGGACCCAGGCTGCCCTCCAGGGGCTGGACAGAGCCTTGGTCCCCACACCCCCACACGCTGAGACTGTCCAGCCCCACGCCCCTCCTATGCGCCCCAGCCGGGCCTGGGACCCCGTAGGGGTGTCGTGTGCTGTCTGAGACCCCCGAGCAAGGCTCTGGCTGGCACTCAGAAGCATCTTCCCAGAAGCCTCCAGAGTTCCTGGAACCACTGGGGGGGCCTCTCCGGCCTCTGGTCACGGGGTTGCCGATCAGGCCCCTTCCTCGGACGGCCAGGGCCCAAGGTCCCTAGACTTGGGGGCCCAAAGCCCAGAGTCGGGACCGAGGCCCCAGCAAGGATCAGGGACAGGCCTCTGCTCCCCCGGTGGGGACGGGGCGGGAAGGACACAGGCCCCAAAGTCAGAGCCAGCCTGAGGATGCACAGCGAGAGGAAGCCCCCCAGCCTGAGACCCCAGCAGGGCCCGGAGGGGGACAGGGTGCAGATGAGGGGCTCCCTCCCCGCTCCCCAAGGGCCCCACAGGTGAGCGGACGGTGCCCACCGGCACACGAACCCCCACGCCGAGAACTGACCCCCTACGCGGGAACCCCGCCAGCCTCACCCGCGGCTCCCGGCCCCCAGCAGCCTCCCGGCCCGGCTGCGGCTCCGGCGATGGCACCGAGGCCTCCTGGCGCCGCCCTGCCCGCGGGTTGCCAGGGGACAGGCCCCACCCAGGGGAAGCAGGTGCACCCCTCCTCCCCGGCCCCTCCCAGGCTCAGGAAACAAAGTCCAGAGCAGGAGAGAGAAAGACGGCACCCGACACCCGGGCAGGGCAGAGGGCGGGCGCCAGGGCTTCCAGCCCGGTGCAACCAGAACTCACCCCGAAACCCCCCCCAGCTGCCGTCTGGCTCTCCCGCCACCTCTCAGCAGTGCTCAGAGAGGGGACAGCGCCTGCCCGGGGTCACACAGCAAGGTCACGGACCAGCCGTCTGTTTCTCGGTGGGAAGTCTGCGTCCAAGACCCTCACCGTGTCACCTGGCTTGGCCCACCCTTTGGGGCTACCCACCCCCGAGATCCCCTTTCTGGGACAAGCCTGGATCGCCCAGGGGGTTTCGGCCGGCCTTGGGTTCGAATCCCACTTGATCTCTCTGAACCTCTGTTTCCTCCTCCATGAAGTGGAGCCACCACAGAACTGGGAGAATTCCCCAGGCCACTTCGACGTAAAGGACCTAACGAGGAAGTCAAAAGCGCCAGAAAACGCGGCAAGATGGACAAGGCCCGGCCCCGCTGGGGCTCGAGACGGGCGGCAGGTCCCGCCAGGCGCTCGGCTGTCCTGCCCGATTCTTGGTCGAGGTGCAGAGAACCCGCAGGGCCACTGGGCCCAGCTGTCAGTCTATAGGGAAGGGACACAGTGGATCAGGCCTCCACCCCCCAGTCTGGGGCTCTGTCCTGACCTGCCCCTTGGCTGACTGTGGGGTGCCTCTGAACCTCAGTCGCTTCTTTTTGTTTTGTTTTGTTTTTTCGGTGGGGATGATCAGCCCTGAGCTAACATCCAATGCCAATCCTCCTCTTTTTTTTTTTTTTGCCAAGGAGGATTGGCCCTGGGCTAACATCCGTGCCCATCTTCCTCTACTTTACATGGGATGCCGCCACAGCATGGCCTGACAAGCGGTGCGTCGATGCACACCTGGGCTCTGAACCTGTGAAGCCCGGGCTGCCACAGCAGAGCACGCTCACTTAACCGCTTGCGCCACCGGGCCTGCCCCCTCAGTCTCTTCTTCCATCAAATAGGCCCCCAGCCCTGAATCTGGCTAGGCTGCCCGAGAGGAGGGGACTTAAGACAGGTCTGGATAAAGGACCCAGCCCCGAATCACAGCTTGAGTGTGTAACATGTGCCAGGTCTGTCAAAACCGGGGGTGCACGGCCTCCCCATCTCCTCCCATCACCCCATAGCCCCCGTCTTGCAGATATGGAAACTGAGGCACAGGAAGCTTCGAGACCCGAGGGCCGAGTATCGGGGGTGGGGCTGAGATCTGAACCTGAGCCCCTACCTTATGCACACACCCTACTCACCAGCCTATTGCTCATGCGGGGAAACTGAGGCCCCAAAAGGGCAGAGAGGGGACCGCCCAGCGTGCTGGGGGCACCTTGGAGATGACGGCCTGACTGTTCTGGCTCCTGAAGCCCATCACACAGATGGGCAAACCGAGGCCCAGAGGGGCAGTGACTTCTCCAGGATCACACAATGGGATGGAAGCAGGGGGGTGGCAGCCCCTGTAGATGCTTCCTCCCCTGTGGCCCCACCATTTCCCAGGGACCAGCTTTTGTGCAGAGCTAGGGGGTGTCTGGGGGGCCCCTCCCATCCACGGGGGGCTGTGAACCCAGCACAGGGCAGCCTCACAGCCTGAGGGGGGTGGGCTCCACCGGACACAGGAAGTGAGTCCCACCATGGGCGCTGCCCCTTACCTGTTCAGGTGTGCTCAGGTGCAGGTGGGACTCCACCAACTCCCCCACCCACGGCACCAGGGTGAGCCCAAGGGGTGCAGGGTCCACAGGCAGGAGAGGCCAGCTCCCCAGGCCCTGCCTGGCCTCCCTTTATGGCCCAGGTGGGGCCACACCCCCTGGCCAGCCACGCCCTCCCCACCCCCGTGAAGTCCAAGAACTCTGGGACCTGGGGCCGTTCACACTGTTTATTTGCTTCTCCGGGAAAGTCAAGAACATCGGGGCCTCGTCACACATCGAAAGCAGAGGGGGCGGCGGTGGCTCACAGCTCAAGGACTCAGGGGACTCGAGGATGGAGAGGGGGCTCCACGGCCACTGCCCAGGGTCACCTCGGGGAGGGCCTCTCCTCCCAGCCACTGAGGGGCAGAGCTGGGATGGGGACCCAGGCTGTGGTCTGAGGTGGCCCCTGGACCTGCCCCGCTGAGGTGGGGGTAGCCTGGGCACCAGGCGGGAGGCCCCTGGGGAGGGGCCGAGATTGGGCCTGGTTGTCCTCATCCTGCCTGTTAGAGGGTCTGTGAGCACGTGCGCGAATGTGCCTCTGGGGACGAGTGTGGCTGCACCCAGGAGATGTGAGTGCATGTCTGGGTGTCGGCCACCCCCAAGAGGGCAGCACCCCACCCCTCACCCCTCCTAGCAAGAGGGGGGCAGGCTCACATTGGGCTGGGTGCCATTGGGGGTATTCTGGCTTCAACCCTGGAAAAGCTCCCCAGCCCGGGCTGTGTGTCCCCCTCTGCTGCCCAGACATGACACGCCCTGCAAAGCCGGCGGTGGGCCGGATCTCTGGGGTGTGGTGGGGGGGACCCAGGATCCTGGACCCAGCAGGCTGGAGAGGTGGCTGGGGGCAGCCCCTCAGGGTCCCCAATTAGCACCAGGAGGAAGGAGGGCCCAGTGGGGGCAAGAGCTCGGGACCAGAAGGGGCTCACGTGGCCCTGCCTTGTGCAGGGGCAGCTCTGAGACCCCCGTCTGCCCCATCCAGAAGACAGTGCAGGGTTCAAAACCCCTCCCCGGTGGGGGGTGTATCCCCAGGGCTCCCCCTGTCCCAGGCTCCACCCAGAGAGGGCATGCGGGGTGGGACCCATTGGGCTGGAGGTGTCCAGAGGGGCCCGAGCTCAATCCAAGACCTCGACTGAGGTCCCCCAAAGAGGCACAGCCTCACCCCGCTGCCCGAGACCCAGATGCCAGCGCTTCGGCTGGGAAACCTTGAGGAACCAGCTTCCAGGGGCGGGGGGGGACAGAGCAGGTCCCCCGGACCCCGTGGCTCCCGGGTCTCTCTCTGACAGGACGTCCCCTCGGGGACCTCATTGGAGGTGGCAGGAAGGCACAGGCAGGAGGCCCAGAGGGTGGCGGGCTGGCCTGGGGCTGCCCCGAGCCCGGATCACACCAGCCGGGACGCTGTGGGTGGGGCCGCGTCTGTGGAGCTGCTGCGACACGAGGGGTCCTCGATTCGGGTAGAATGGGTCTGTCGTGTGTCTCTCCAACCAGGTGCACGGCTCAGTGGTTTGGGGCTTGTCGGGGGTGCTGACGGGGTGGGGGACCCCGTCCCTCTCTTTCCAGTGAGAGAAGATTCAGAAGGAACATGTGACAACACGGCGTGTCCAGGGGCCCGTGGCTGTGGGTGGAGGGTGGGCAGGCGCCGGGGGCTGGGCGTGGGTGTCTGGTACTGAGGATGGGGCCGGGGTCTGGGGGCCGGGCGGCTCACATGATGGAGCAGCATTTACAACGCTGCTTCTTCATGTCGAGGTCCTGGGAGCCACTGGTGGGGGCCTCGGGCCCCACCTGATTCTCTTCCCTGGAGCCCGCAGTGGCTGGGGGCTCGGCGGCGCTGCCGTTGGGCGGGGCAGGCTCCTTGGGCTCGGCTACATCCTCGATGACCACCAGCTCTGCTGTGATGGTGTCCTGCAGCCCCAACACCTTCTGGGTCTCAGCCTCGTCCTCCACGTTCTGGTAGCCCATGAAGATCATGGTCACGGGGGGCTCCTGGCCAGGCTGGATGCCCGGGGGGCCCGAGGTGGCCTCGCCTGGCTGCGCCTGCACTCCGGTGATCTCCCGCCTGGAGGGCGTGGTCCGCACGGCCTCCTCTAAAACCCCCTGGGTTTCCACTGCCCCAGCTGTAGACCCTGCCTCACTCAGCGTGACCTCGTCTGCCTTGTGGATGAGTTCGTCCACCTCGGAGGAGCTCAGCGGGTGGATCCCATTCATGGCAGTGCCGTCCACAGCATGGACCACTGGCAGGGGCAGGGAGAGAGAGACGGTGAGTGAGCTGGTTCTCGGACAGGAAGGCAGCCTGGCAAGGCTGCAAGCCACCCTCCAGGCCAACGAGGAAATCATAAAGTAAATTACACACTTAGAACCACTGAGAGTCAAGCTCCCTATTGGGATCTGTGGATGCAGCCAATTTGGTGCACAGAGGAAAAGTCATAGCCACTAAAGCATTTGTTAGAAACCAAGAAAGACACGAATTGAATGAACTAGGATTTTACTGTCTTGCATTTTTGAAGCATTTCCATATTCCCCAGGTGACTGACTTCAGTGAGATCACCTTGCAAAGCAGGTGTTTTTTGCCATTGCAAGGATGGTGAAGCTCAGAGAACGGAAGTAACTAGCCCACGGTCACACAGCTGGACCCTGCTCTTTCTCCCAGTCTAGGCCTGTTTCCCTCACACGAGGACTCAGAGGGATCCAGATTTCTTCCTTCCTTGGGTTGCTAGGGTTGATTTTGAATTAAAGTTTAGTTCATTCATTCAATATTTTTTGTTTCCTAATAAACGCCTCAAAGGCTATACATTTTCCCCTGAGTTCTGCTTTGGCTGCATCCCCTGGATTACATTGTGTCCTTCTCTTTTCAAGTGTAAATAGCTTATAATTCCCATTCTGATTGATTGCCTCTTTAAGCCAAGATTTATTTAGAAGGGTGTGTTTAAATTTCAGGGTGTGGGGGGCTGTGGTCCGGGAACACACAGCCTAACATAAAAACTCTGTAACAGTCCTTACAACCCCCTGAGCAGCCCAGGACATGGTCACTTTCTGGAAACGCTCTACCTGTGTTTGAAAAGAACGTGCACTCTCCATTGGGCAGAGTTTTATACGTGCAATCAATTTTGTTAAATGTATTTTCCAAATCTCTCCAGCATTCCCCATCCGGGTCTCTCTGACCTGTCATTTTCTGAGCCGTGCTGTGGTCTCTAAGGACCAGACTTCAGCACCCGGGAGGAGGCCCAGCCATGGTCTGAGGCCAGCTGCAGATAACAGCTGGGCAAACTCCTTCTAGAAAGACAGCTGCTGGCTGCCTGGGGAGCAGGGAGGGACACTCTGGGCGCCCTGGGACTCGCTTCCTCCCAGGCCAAGGGTCAGGGTTCTGTTCCTGGCTCCTGGCCAGAAGAAAAGTGCTTTCTACTCTCAGTTTCCAAAGCCCCAGGGAGGGGCATCCACTCTTCAAGGCCTGGCAGTGACTCTGGGCGGGAGGCCCAGAGGGTGGGGTGTGTCCCTGTCACAAAGATTCCAGGGAGTATTTCCCAAGATAGGAATCTGAGCCCTCCGTCGCCATGGAAATGGATCACCTTCCCATTGCTAAGCAACCAGAGTCCAGCCTGGCAGGTCCCAGATTCCCAGGGGCTGGGCCAGGCTGGGCGGAGTGGCCGAGCTGAGGGCCCTCTGAGAGGATCTGCCAGGACCACACAGCTGGTGAGAGCTGGAGCTGGCATCCCCCAGGCCGACGCCCCCGACCACGGCAGAGCGGGGCTGCGATGGGACCCCTTTAAACAACCTAAACAACCTTGTGGGAGATCAGGATCTGGCCACCCTGAAATCTATCTCTTTACCTTGATTGTTTTCTCTGATGGACATTTGACCTCCCCCACTAACTGCCTAAAGAATTTGACATAGTAACTCCTTCCTGGAACAGATCTTCTATCTGAGGGCTGTAATATAACGTAAAATAGATGTTATAATAGGAAAGGCACCAACAACCCCATCTTATCAGAAGTTCTGTCTCTCTGGCCACATTCTCTGGATGGCCCTGCGAGGAGTTGCCAGACAGACATTTACATTTATAAGGGAAATCTCCATTTGTAAAGGTGTCTCCCTCTCTGTATTGGGAAGAGGGGAGATGACCTCATTTCTAGAAATTTATCAGTGTGGAAGGTGAGGCCTTAAATCTGCATAATAACCTTACTCCTGTTTACTGTGCTTTAGTGGTAATCTCCTGTAACTGACATCCCCCACCCCCAACATCCTCCTTTATCTTTAGCTGAAGATGGTATTTAAGACGAGAATTTCTGCTATTGTGTTGAGAAACGCAGTGTCCCTGCTTTCTCCCATGTACACATGTTCTTAAGCTGGGTATTATTTTCTCCTGCTAACCTGTCTTGTTAATTATTTGGCCAGCCAGAAGAACCTTAAGGGAAAGGGCAGAGGGGGATTCTCCCTCTTCCCCCAACAACCTCAAGAACATGAGGCTGTGGGAAACCACAGTTAGACACCACTTCACATCCACCAGGACGGCTATAACATTAATAACAATAAAGTGGACGATAACAAGCGTCGAGGATGCGGAGAAACTGGAACCCTCACGCACGGCTGGTGGGAAAGTCAAATGGTGCGGCTGCTGCAAAAAACACTCCAGCAGGTCCTCAGAAGGTTAAACAGAGTTACCCTCTCACCCAGCGATTCCACTCCTGGGTGTTGCCCAAGAGGAATGAAAACATACGCCCACACAAAAACTTATATGGCATTATAAACCAAAGGGTGGAAAAAAACCCAAACGCCCATCAACTGAGAATGGGTAAACACAATGTGGTGCGTACAGACAATGGAATCTTATTTGGCTATAAAATATGAACGTGGATGGACCTTGAACACACGACACTCAGTGAGAGAACCGGACACAGAAGGACACACGGTGTGTGATTCCACTGATGTGAAATGTCCAGAACAGGCCCATCCACAGACAGAAAGTGGGTTCGTGGTTGTCAGGGGCTGGGGAGGGGGTGGGGAGTGACTGCTGATGGGGACGGGGTTACTTTTTGGGGAACAAAAATGTTCTAGAACTAGACAGTGAGGGTGTACAACATGGTGAAGACACCAAAACCCCTGAATCATACACTGAGTTGCCTAGAATTTCCCCCTCCCCAAGGTCACTTATATACCATCCTAGAGGTCAGGCCCAAAGTAGATAAATTTAAATGCCTAAATGTTTATGAAACTGCTCCCTCGATACCGATGGATTGCACAGTCTAAATAAAAGTTTTCCGTAGTCAAAAGAAAAAAGTACATTTTAAGGTATGTGAGCTATATCAAGGAAGAAAGAGAGACTGGACGCCCCCTGGGTTCCCAGCTTCCTTGCGGGTATCCCCCATAGTCCATTCCCCTCCTGGCCACCAGAGGGAACCCCAAAAACCACACCGGAAATCATCGCGACACCCCTGCTCCCTGGTCCCATCACCTCCCTCCACTCCTCGCTGGCCCCGCAGGCTCCTCTCAGTTCCTCCAGCCCAGCAAACTCCTCCCATCTCAGGGCCTTTGCACGTGCTGTGGCCTCTGCTGAGTGCCCTGTCCCCTGCACCTCGCGGTGTATCCCATGGGCTCCTGCTCATCCGGCCCCTCCCCGCCCCGCTAGACCCTCTCACGCCCCCCTCTGCATCTCTGGAGTTTTTTGTAGCCTTGATCACAACAGTAACTAATTAAACCGATTATTTGTGAGGTCGGGACTCAAAAGGCTGGCCGGAGGAATCCCACCTGGGACCTGCCAGGCTTCAAGGCAGGTCCCGGAGGGAAGGAGGATCGGGCCACGGCATCCGGTCAGCTCTGGCGCGGAAGGGTCGGGGCGGGGCGGGGTCGCGTACCTTTGGTCTCGTCCTCGTACACCTTGATGCCCTGGGGGAGCAGCTCCCGGGGGAGCGAGGTGGTGCTGGACAGCACTCGGGTCTCCCCTGTCACCTTGTCCTTCTCCACCGTGATCTCCACGGAGTACATGGCTGGCACGAGATGGACGGGTCACCCGCCGCCCGCCCCGCGCCCCCCGGGCGCAGCCAAGCCAGGGAGGGAGCCGGCAGCGCAGAGCCGAGCAGCAGGCGCCCCGCGCAGCAGCCCCCGGGCAGCTCTGAACCCCTTGCTTGGCCTTCGAGGCCCACCCCTGCCGTCCCGCCCCGTCTGGAAAGCCCTAAACTGTCCCGTGTCCTCAGAGCAGGGGAGGCCGTGCCTCGTCCACGGTCACGGCCGAGACTCGCACTCCCGCCGGACCCCAGCCGGGCCTGTCTGTGCACCTGCCAATCTGCGCCTCTGTCTCTTTCCAGTCGACTGAACTCACCCTCATCTATGTCCCGTGCAGAACGCACAAGTCCTCCTGGAAATAAATGCACGCCGTCGCCCGCGAGGCCACAGTTAGGAGCCGCGTCCCGCCTGCCCCGTAGAAATCACCACCACGGAACCACACGGGAGACAGATCCTACCAGCGGCCCCCAGGCGCTGACCCGGCCTCCAGGGCCTCGCCCCGAATTCTAGGATCCCACCCCCTCCTCCACGCCGCCCTGTGGGAGCCCCCGAGTCACCACGTCCCAGACCCGCTCCCGATCTGTCCCTGCACCTGCCCCTCCTGGGTCCCCCCATTTCTCACAGGGACGTCCCCCTTCTCCCTCCTCTGTCTCCCTCTCTCCCCAGGTCTGTCCATCTGCAGATCCTACGAGTTCTGCCCTCAGAACATCCGCAACCTGCCCACTGCTTGGCCCTTTGCAGCCCACCATCCAGGGAGGGGGACCAGCGTCCCTCCCCCACCATCCC